TTAAGAGCCACAATACAGGTGCCAAAGAGCCGCATGTGGCTCAGGAGCTGCAGGTTGCAGACCCCTGTTCTAGGAGTTGTGCCTGTGTGGCTATCGATTGTAATGCAACACATATGGTAACACCTGTTTTCTGCGCCACCCACTGGTACAGGAAGAAACAATGTCAGCTTTCTGCTCTGTGGCACAACTGAAAGTGAATCTAACCCCCAAAACAGCTTTTTTTTCCCCCTGATAAACTGTCTAAATAGGTTATTTAGGGTTCTATCTTTATGTTTGTGTGAATTTTGACGTTTGTGCAATTTGTTTAGTTCAGCATTATTTTCCCTGAAAGTGTCTCACTACCTTTCAGAGTACACCTTGGTACAACTTCATCACATCCCTGGTTCAGTTATAAAAGCACAGTGCTCTCTCGCTCCCCTGCTCTGTTCCCCCAGCCACCTGATGGCAAGCCAGAACTTGCAAGGGGTGCCACGGCAACTGGTGGTCATTGATTGATAGTGTTAATCAGCTTTTCAGATGTATGATTTCAATTCAAAAATACTTTATTAATACCAAAGGCAAATTAAATTAAATGTTGTAACTCATTTATTCTTCAAGATGCAGATTGTGATGGCTGTTGACAGGAAAGATCTCCTGCAACGGTCTGTATGAGTAAATCTGAAGAAGCCTTTGACTGAAGGTACTCTGCCTTCCCAAGACAGTCTAATGAAGAGGATGGTCAGGGTTGTCCATAATTTTCTTGATCCTATCAAGAATCCTTCTTTGCATCATCATCTCACAAGATTCCACAGTCGCCCCCAGAACAAATCCAGCCTTCTTGTTCAGGCTGTTGAGCCATTTTACGTCCCTGGTTCTGATGCTGCTGCCCCAACAGATGACAGCAGAAGAGATGACACTCTCAACAACAGACTTATAGAAGATTTGCAACATCTTGGTGCAAACCTTGAAGAATCTTAGCTTCCTCAAGAAATGTAGTCCGCTCTGTTCCTTCTTATAGATACTTCACTGTTATGTCTCCAGTCCAGTCTGTTGTCAAGACGAACACTGAGATATTTTTATTCCTCAAACACCTTCACTTCTTCTCCCATTATGGAAATAGGGTT